CCTACCAGGTAAATCTAACATCCTGTTGGACGAGAATGTTTTGATTCTCTTTTTTTTTTGGGGAATTGAATAACAGTTGGACAACCTTACTCACTCATTTTTATTCTTTTCAGTGTACAGTAAAAAATCCTTCGCTACGAATAAATGCACTCATTTGCCTACTATACTGTCCATCTTCATTATCATTATCGTGGGTTTGAACCCGGAGATCATACCTATCTTTTAACCATAAAGAATATCATTTTTTATGGGTACAAGTACGTCGCAACTACCTTCATTCCTTGACATGATCGTCTTGCACCAACTGTCGGTTCTCTCTGTCTGAGTCAGTGGGGAATGATGTTTTGAATGGGGGTCGAGTGAATGAAAATCACATCTGATCGATGCAGCCAGCTTCTCACCATCATCTCCCTAGCAAGTACAACTTTGCGATTGACGAACTGACTGGCTCTCGTTCTCTCTGTGTATGTGCGACGCGACTGAGCTGACTTCGTTTGCTTGTTGACGCTTATGTGTGTGCGTTACTGCAGCGGTGATTTTTATTTAAGTTAGCAATATCTTTTTCTCCATGTATTTTATCGTGTCTTCTTTACTATGCTGTATACCGTTCTATTCCCTACGTACGCTCACTAATACAACAATTGAGTACCTTGATTTAATGACGGGCGGACGAAAAATAATCTGTTTGGGTCATTTTTTCTAAGTCTTCGAGTCGATCTAGTCATGAATCAGTTGATTTATGGATAGACTGAATGCGAGACGACGATGATTGTCTCTTTATTTGTTTGAAGAGTAATAACCTATGCCATGATTGCTATGATTTATATTTTATTCAAATCGATTATTCTATACGGCTTAATGTGTACGTGGAACTTCTCGTTTTGTCTATCGTCCCGTCTTTTTACCGACTTAACGTCAAATTTGAACGTCAAGTGACATTTGTTCATCTCTCACTCGCTGTGAATTCTGTATACATGCACTTGTTTTATCCTCGGGATCTGCATCTAGTGTGACGGGCACTTTTCTGACTGGTCACCTGGCCAGTTTGGAACGGATCTTGCTCACTCGAGTGTATCGCTACTGGCTGACCTCATGGCCATTATCTGTCGGTCACACCTATCCCATCGCTCTGTCCGATTTTGCTCGTGGTCCTGCTGTCCAGGGTGCGGGGTGGCCGACTATGGATCAGGTAAGCTGGACACTGCATAGAGTCTGGCATTCGGTTTGTATGTGCGTATTCAGAGTTTGCGGAATTTCTTTCCAACCAGGTTTTGTTTTACACTCTTCTCCATACTAGTGCAATAAATTCTGAGAAATGAGCTTTTAATGAGTCCCCTGTATGTGTATGTGTGTGTCTGTCCGTCTGTCTGTTTGTGTGTGTACTTGCTTCGTCACTAGTTCCGTTTTCACTATAACTCTTCCGTTTGAAGCTCAAGTCGTCCGTCAACTGCGATTGTCTGTGCGATGCCTGCGCGCATTTTCTTGAGTGAATAAACTGGTTTGTTCATGCAATGAATTCTTGTTCCTGTGTCTGTCCGTATATATGATTGTCCTACCGTTTTCACAAGTTTTCTATTCGTAAAATAATTCTGGTTAAAACAGAGTTATGGGTCCAATCACCTAATGATCCTAAGTGTCTGTTTTCCAGAATATTGCAATTGATTCATTTTATTTTTACGTGTGCATGTGTGAAACAGATTGGAAGAGTCAACAACGAGTTCGACACATATATGAATGTTAGTGAGATTACTGATTCACAATTCATGTTACGACCACGGCTGTTAACGTTCGTCTGAAACAGACACTGACCTATTCGGGACCGATGCGCTTCATTCTTTGAGAAGTCGTTTATTTGCGACACACGGTAGACGAATTTTATTCATGATGGAAATTATTGTGGTAAACGAAAAGGAGCAGTGTGCAACTGTTTCGACCCTCCGGGGATAAAATATTGTACACATTACTGATGAGTTTCAACATGAATAATTACAGTTATACAGTGGTAGGCAACTAAACTGTCACCCGCCTGAATAGCACGCCTATGCTAATGGGGCGTTTTGTGGTGTGCCACTCCAAGTCTCAGGTTTAGGTTGGCAGTTCCCACGCCTAAACAGTAAGCTCTCAGCACTGTGGGGTTTACTCCTGCTGTTCCGCACGCAATAGCTTGCGTAACTATGAAAATAGCAAACCATAATTTCCATTGTTCTCGTCACAACCATTTGCCCTTCTGGTACTTGTATCAAAGCCAGTCGTGCTTTTTCTTGTCTGCCTGACCAAATCCGATATTTCTTTGTGTGTATATATAACCGTATGTTTTTATTACGGATATTAGTTCGAGGAGCAGTGAAGCAGCTGAACTCCTTAGTCTTGAGAGCCTATGATTCGCTGAGAAGAACCTAACAGTTGAGACTGAATGGAAAACGGTATGAGGTTGCCCTAGCTATTCGGCCGGACAGCAGCACGAAGCTGCTCACCACCAAGGCTGACTGGCGACGGCGAGATTCGGTCATTTAAATCCAGTACGAATTTGCGAAAGTGATTAGAACCGCCCGATCATCCTAATCCAGGACAAATCATCCGAACATAATAAAAATGTACTTGGCTGAATGCGCTCGTCTCTCTCAACATTACTTTCCACACTTTATATGAGAGGCCAACACGAAGAATATTTATCGTAAACAGATTTCGATCAGAATCTCATGAAAACAAAACGGGACAATTTAAACTCGCTTCTGTAGATGTATATGTATGTAGTTATATCAAGAGAAGATGGCGACGTACACCTCAACGTTTCGGTCCAAACCAGAATTCGTTGTCAAACACACACTTATATATATCATACTTTTCTCGTTAATTTACATACTGCTTATCACGCAATATGTAGCGCAGTTTTTATTCTTTTAGTCCTATGTCCAAATGATTGTGCCAATCCCATTTGGAAACTGCTACGACCTGAAATCACCACCTGAAAGTGTTGCGATTTTTTCCCCAGATTAAGTGTCTTGTTTAGATATGCCTCTGCTGTGTGTGTTTATCGCGGAACATACACACACGGACTTACGCATATGCGCCAAAAATCACAGACACTGTTACATTTCAACTAATGTTCATCCGGGAGGTGTCGTCCCATTGTCTAACCAGCTGTTGCGATGTCCAGGTGCTTCTTCATGGCATGTGAAATCATGCACTTATGACCGAGCTCCTATCCCATCCCAGGCGACACTAAGTGTGGTCTTATTAACCCATCCTCCGCTCACCCCCTCTCCACCTGCGTCCTCTTCCTCGTTATACGAACATAAGTTCTACTTCCGAAGCTTCACCTGACCCTCTCTGAGAGGTTGTACTGCCATCGAATGCTATTCTTCTCTGTTCGGTCTCAGCCTATCGATCCGCATTTATTCTTTTCTAATGATCCTGGTTTCTATCTCCCCATTGCCAAGGCTATTCGTCTAGAACCGACAAGATCCGATTTGTTTCGAGTGGACTCGAACGAGTGTAAGCCGCAACTGAACACCTGCGAATGGCTCGTAAATCCGCATACCTCGAACTATCTGGTCGGGTCGGCCAGTTTGGCTTCCTATGCGGGTACGTTCGTGTATTGTCATTCGGGACTCAATGACAAAGCTGTTGCTCATGAAAAATGTACACCGATTGTTTTACTTTATCGTGGACCACCGGGTGATATCGATGCATATCGGTGAGAGCAGATAATCAATATATCGATCACCAATCGTTATTACAGATAGTACTATTTATCAGTTTCTGATTTTTCACAGTACAGTCTTTGCAGTCAGTTTATAGATCGCAATTTAGTGAGCTGAGCAAATCGCAGTTAACTCCAGTTTTTTCCCCGATCAGTAACTGTGATGGCTATGGGAATGATCGTATTGATAATAATCACAATATACTTTCTAATTTCGTCCTACCCCCCACTTTCAGTTTTCATAACCACCAACCATGCATTTTCAAGCGCCCGTTTTCTTTGCTGTCTTTTGGCTGCCTATTTGGATAAAATTGGAATGTTGAGACGAAAGT